TGGTAGTGAATGAAAAATTGGGAAGGAAAACATATCTACGCACTAATACACTATTTAATATAATTGTTTTCTAAATATTTATCCATATAATTATAATTTATTCGAATTATTACATCTGTCTGTTTAAAAAGATTACCACTTTGATTTTGTTAGGATTTTTCGATTTTTTATTATTATTATTACCTTCATCTTTTATTGGTTTATGAATGACTATTACTCTCGTTTCTAGCACTGTAAGAAAAGTAAGAACACTTGACTTCTTACCTGGCCATGGTGGGCCATTGTTGGAGTTACAGTATGAACTGGTGAAAGACAATGTTTCATTGTGTAAAAATACAAGCCAGAAAGTTGAAACGTATAAAAATATAAGCCAGAAAGTTGAAACGTGTGAAAATACAAGCCAGAAAGTTGAAACGTGTAAAAATACAAGCCAGAAAGTAGAGAACAACAGGAGTACTGTGAAATTTTTGAAAAGTGAGCTACGCTAGCCATGTTTCAAACGACAGCTGTTGTCGTATCATATATATAGTAGGATTTATTTCTTGACTTTTATAAATTAGTATCATTTCTTTATGTTCCCATAACTCTCCAGGTACAAATTTCTGCTTTTTATATCGGTTACAGAAATTAAAGACATTGTCGCAAAATGATTTAAAAAGTGTAAAGTAACGCTTATCTTCTCAAACATATGTAGCTTCAAGAGAACAAAGACTCGTCATAGAATGTTATTTGCAAACCACTTATCACGTGAATGTCTAAAATTACACAGGTGTTTTGCGAACAAGAGATACCTTTCGGAACATACATACGCTACAACAAAAATTCATATTTCTTTCGCTTAGTTATAGATAAGAAATATCTCCATTATCAACTTCCAAACACCAGATAAGGTATATCGGTCGATAACACACCAACAAGATGATGACATCATCCGTTGAAGAAATTACATTGCAATAAACTTGTATAACCCTCGACAGAAAATACGTGATAACAATCGCGTAACCTTAAAATATAATCTCTGTAAACATTGATAATGTTAGTTCTGGTTCATTACAATTCCTGATTTTTTATGCTAAAAAACACAGCACATGAAAAGGTAGTCAGATAGATTTTAAATCATATGGTGATATCATCAGACTGTAGGTGCATACACACATATATGGAATTTTAATTATCTTTCACTCAAACAAATCATCACTAATAATTACCGTCTTTCAATGTATTGTTAATGATTTAAAGCTTTTATTAAGAGCTAGGAAGGAAGCTCGATGAACAAAAATCAGTACATGTAAAACTCCTAGGTATAAGCGTTTGAATAACTTTACACTTAACCTTAAAAACATTTTAATTTTTTATAACTTAAAACACTATAATGTTTAAGTAGACACTTAAATTTTATTTCCTTATGATATAGGTATATGTATATAATAGTAATTATCCTACTAGTATAGCTCCCCAGTGGCATAGCGGTAAGTCTGAAATCTTATAACGCTAAAAACCAGGTTCCGATACCCGTGGTGGGGAAAAGAACATATAGCTAGCTCATTGTGTAGCTTTGTGCTTAACTCCAACCAACCAACCAAACAAACAAACAATCCTACAAGTATATAACTAAACGTTTTTTTCCTTAACTGACTGACTTATATTGGTATTCTTTCCTACCATTTATGCTAGTATCAGAAATAACTTCCAAAACCTGGAGGCTACGAAAGAGAAACATTGTGAATAAATCAGCTTCAATACTTGCATCAAACTCTCACTAATCATTAGATCTGCATTTTTGAATTATTATATTAACATTTGAGAGAGAGGGCAGGCAAAGCAATAATGCAGAGACTGAAATCAGTCAAGTCATGGGTCAGTAAGGCTAAGAAAGATGTAAATGAGATATGTCCACTGGAAAACATCAATAATATTGAGTGGGTCTAGGTAGATGGCATTAAGTTAAACATCATGATGACTGGCAGCAGGGTGAATTTAACATTGTTATATTATAATGGTCAGGCCAGGTATTTTCAGTCTTCTTATCTACTGTGTTGTATCTTCATAAACATTAATTTTCGGTTGTGCCGTGGGAAAGTTCTTGCATCCAGCTCGGACACTCTTTTAACTAGAAGATATGGATTTTTGTTTGTTTGTTTTGCTGGAGAGCATAAAGCTATACAATGACCTATGTGTGCTCTACCCATCACGGGTATCGAAACCTAGTATTTAGCGTTATATACCCACTGACTTACCGCTGAGCGTCTAGAGAGCAAAAAATATGGCTTTATTTTATTATTTAGATGATGATACTCAGGGGATCACTGCCAATTTAATACAATATGTTAAGAGCTTAATATAGATTTTCAGTTTTAAGTTTAAATAAAAACAATATATATATAGTTCTTCTGTAAAAAATGTTGTTAAAATGTTAATCCAGTGATTGAATCTTAAAATCGATTATAAGATAATCAGTTGTGCAGTATTCTTTCTTGATTGCATTTTTATATAAGAAACAGACAATATAATTACTGTTTATAATAAGTATACATTACAATAACATTGTTATCGTATACATTCATATCCATAATAAGATCAAAAGTTAATGCTAAAATTAGAATATTATTGATATTTACAATAATTAAAGAAAGTGATGTTTTAGTACGGGTTTATTAAAAGATTCCGTTTTCTTTCTTTTTTTGATACGCGTTTGAAAAATCGCGTCTGACCTTTACAGTTTTCTCACAAACGATAAGCTTATACTGATGCCGTTCTTCAAGACATGCTTGTTGACTTTTATAGATTACTTAAAGTAAACTTGTGTTATGATCAAAAATCTCACGATCACAGTATACCTGTTTTGTCAGACCCCTGGTCTAATAGTTATCAGAGACACTACCAAGTGGGGTGGGGGTAAGATAGGGCGGAATGGCACTTAAAAGAGGACACATTCACCGGAATGACTGATACATAGTGACAGCCAATTTGTGACAATTTCGATGCAAGTCACAGTGAAAATCGAGCAGATAATTTACGTGTGTAATCTGCGAGACGTAATCAGCTCATCAAAGCTGTTCGTGCACTACTAAGTAGGAGTGGACCCTCTTCACTAAACGTCCGGGCGTTTGCTGGACTTGTTTGCTACCAAGTAGTGGCTGGTAACGCTAGAGGGCGGGTGTGACTGCGTGATCTTGGCGAATTGTAAGAATTTATCTTTTATCAGTCTAAAATTTCCATCAGGACGGGTTAATATTACCTTTTTATACGTATAAGTCACCTGATAACACTTTCGGTATGAAATTCATAAGTAAAAATAAAGTACTACATGTATTAGTGATGTGAAATTTCACATTACATATGTTACTAGTTAAAGAACATGTATGTTTTCGCATGAATCGTTATTTATTGTTTATTTAACATCGTCGTATTTATTTCAGTGTCACGTATATAAAAAAAATGTCAAAATTTCAACTCACAAAACAATACGCAATCTCAAAACTTTATACAAGTATAGACGTGAAAAGGTGAGACAGAATCGTGCAAGTACAGGAAGGTAGGTTACTTTCGTGTTCGGGTTTTGTTTGGTTTGAATTTCGCGCAAAGTTACCTGAGGGCTATCTGCACTAGCCGTCCCTAATTTACAAGTGATAGACTAGAGGAAAGCTAGCTAGTCAACACCACCCACCTCAAACTGTTTTACTAACGAATAGTAGGATTGACCGTCACATTATAACGCCCCCACGGCTGAAAGAGCGAGCATGTTTGGAGGAACTGGAATTCGAACCCGCGACTTTCAGATTGCGAGTCCGAACCGTTTCAACTTTCTGGCTTGTATTTTCACACGTTTCAACTTTCTGGATTCTTAATAATTTTAAAAATATTATAGATAGAACACTCCGGTATTATTTAAATTGACAAACAACTCCTAAAGTTTGTAGGACTTGATGTTCGGGAGTTCCTGAATAACACATTCCCAGACAGATGGATTGGTAGAGATGGACCAATACGATGGCCCCCACGTTCCCCTGACATAAACCCGTTGGATTTTTTTTTCTTGTCCGGGATGTGTGTGTTAAAATTTTGACACCTGTGTGTGATATCGTGGATCTTCGCCACAGAATAAACGATGCAATAAGGAATGTGGTTTCCAAGATGCTGAAGAACACCTGGAGGGAGATAAAGTATTGCCTGGACATTCTTCGAGCAACAAACGGTGCACGTGTGGAAGTATACTAAGACAAGAAAAGAACTTTATGAGTTTTTTGTCACGTTAAATATAACCGGAGTGTTCTATCTATAATATTTTTGAAGTTATTAATTTTTAAAATGGATCAGATAATTTATGGACACCCTGTAGAATGTAGTGTGTAAACTATAATAGGCCTAATACTAATATATAATGATAAATAAATTTATTGTAAATCTAATTGGATATCGTAGACATTTTACGACTGACGAATAAGGTATGAGTTTACGAACACCATTGTATTCCAAACAGTATTTAAAACCTATAGCGCAAATTTTGCCCTTGCGTAAACATTATTAATTTTTGAATAATACAAAGTTTTAAAATTAAGTATTTCTCATCATTACGTTGTTTGATAGATTGATGTCAATGAATAATCAACTAATTAATAAGGGTTACAGTTTGTGACTAATAATATCAAATTGATAAAAGTGGACTTTGGTAAATAACTGACCAAAAACTTCATTTTATTAATATTAAACTAATATTTTGTAGTCTCCCATTGTCACACACATTTTTGTACTTCCTTCGTTATTTAGTTACCCCAAATGATTACTAATGATGTATATGACAAATCAAAACATTATTAAATATAAAACATTGTAAATTTTTAACCTGAAACTGCTTCTAATCAGAATTTCATTCTTCTCGTCACATTGTAAGTTCATTACTTGTTTTTGTTTCATGTACAAAAAACAACAAAAACAAGTTTTATCAAATAAATAAGTAATATCGATTTCTTCTAAAATATAATTTCACATTTTAACCTCACCTGACTTAACAGAACAGTGAATGTGAGAACGGGATTCATAGTAGACCCAGTCAAAACCTGCTTCAACTGCCAACCGAGCCAGCATGCCGTACTTCGACCTATCACGATCATTAGTCGTGATGTCCACTGCTCTTCCTTCGTAGTGGAGAGACTCTACAGCATGATGGAGCTCTTCGTCCCATCCCTCTGTAACTCGCAACCTGACTCCTGGCCATTGGTTCATTACTGAGATGGCTAAGGTGTCCAGTTTTTCTTTGCACCGCTACAGAAAATTAATGAGTGTCTAAATAATGTATAACAATAAAAAAAAATCTAATAAATTGCACGTGTGCACCTAACACATCCAGTCCTGCCATTATACAAGTTTTTACTTGTTCTTCCTTTACTTCACACTATATACCTACAAAGTGGAATACATATTTTGATAATCAATCATTTAACAGATATAGATATAGATAAACACATGTATATGCGGTTTATTCATAGCTAATTTCATTATGATCAGAGGAGGACATTTACAGCCTCGCACACATTGAAGTGTTACTTGGATAGTACAGAGTGTGACTCCACTGTTATCAAACATTACAAAGATCAAGAAATGTTCTAACATACACATATTGCTAGAGTTGTACTTAAATTTACTAACTGTATAACGTTCCAGCTTGATTTCGAGGACTAATCGTTTGTGTTTCCGAGGCTTTGAAAGACACTAGTATTATAAATAATCATTTGCACTAGACATTCTTGGAAAACGTTTTACACTAAATTGGATTGAGCGTTCGAAATATGAGATACATGCAGATAATAAACTTATTGGCTGATCAAGACATGGGTTTGGGGCCATTAACTTGTTTCGCCATACTTTCATCTTACATACTGGAAATGCATATTGGAATCAAAGTCAAAACGTTACCTCTACATTTTAAACGCGCAGAAGTAATAGATTTGGAGGAAGGGAATATGAAGAGGAGTTTATCCAAACAGCCTTCATCGAGACTTTGGAGAAAGAAGAAATATTCAACATTCTATAGAACTAGACAAACAATATCACTATAGAAAAAAAAAGGATAAAAGTTAGCTGTCAATTACAAAATACAAGCCAGAAAGTTGAAACGTGGAAAAATACTTTCCAAGGGACTAGATATACAGGGTGCCCATAAATTATCTGACCCATGTTAAAACACACACACACATTACGTTACCCTGTCACGTTGTCACCCTCTTTTATATACCCGACTACCCTATATCTAGTAAATACTAGAGCATTCGCCATAGTACAGGATAGTTCTAGAAACGTGGCGTCACAGTAGTCATGTGACTCGCTGACGCAACACTATTGTTGTGGCGTTCACACCATAAAAAGTGTTGTTGTAACAAATCTAACCTACATAAAAGCTAGTGTGTGTCACGTTACTCTTGATTTTTCGAAATAGAATGACTCATAAAAGCTAAAATGCATTGTTCCAGATAGAATAATTCGATTAGTGTCCACCCGTTACGATTTTAGTGGCGAGAGTGCAAGGGGCCGTGAAGGGGGGAGGGGTCCCGTGTAAATTTCTACTTGTAGTGAGTTTGTTTGAAGTTAAGCACAAAGCTACACAATGGGCTATCTGTGCTCTGCCCACCACGGGTATCGAAATCCAGTTTCTAACGTTGTAAATCGGCAGACACACCGCCGTGGCACTAGGGGGCTAATGTAGTGAGTGTTGGTATAATAAGCGTCAAGTAAAGACGTATTGTGGGATCACCTAGCCTAGAGACAAGTGCATAAAATTTATCATGAAAGTAAAAATATCGATTCAATTTTAAACTTCAATTGTTTCTGAATTAAGCTGTTTTCTTTTATATCATCAACGTTTTTAATATAAAAAAAACATTTTTAATCAACGGATACATTAAATTAAGAAATCAACAAATATTTTTCCAGTTTTGTTGTCTATACATTTCATTTTATACTTTAAGTACATAGACTAACAAGAATATTAGGTTATACTTTTGTTGCTAAGCAACATGACATAAAAGCCATTGTTGGAACGTAGTGTTACCAAAATCAACTGACTTTTCTATGTATTGGAAGTTGTTAATCTAACTGATTTTTACCAACAATTATTCGATGAATACGCCACGAATTCATTTCGTGAATGATCTTCATTTTGATTGGCTCACATAGAAATTGACCAACGTTTGACTGCCTCGACTTCACTTTTCTGCCTCTTTGTTGGTCAAGCTTGATTTCGCTAAATACATTTATTTCAGTTTCTGAAATGTGAGGTTAGGGTATACTATGGGGTGGGGGTGGTGGTACTTGCCCCGTCATTTTTGACGGGCTATACGCTAGTGGCTTTATATAAATAGTATTTCAACCACTGCTGTCGGCCTAATGAACACTGGAAAGGGCGAAACGCATCGTCAGCAATGTTTACAGTTAACAAACTTAATAAAACTGGTTTATTCTTTCCGAATATAACTTTACCGATACACTCAACTTCAACAATCGCGCTAAACAAACGCTATAACAACGAACGTGCTCAATAATACTTCTGACTGCAGATCAAATACTCACTGTCAAAGAACTTGTGTCGCTAAAGTATCGTCGGAACGAAGTTACGGAAAGTTAATTAACAAATGCAGACGTAACAATATAAACGACGTAGGAATGCAGTCTCCTTGTAATAATCTGCAAAACTTTTGACGTAAGACATTCAAAGAGAATTACAAGAGCTTCAAGAAGAAAGTCCATTATGGACTGAAAGTTTACTTTTACTTGTAGACTTTCACCTGATCTGTCGGGCGTTCACCAAGGGCAGAACTGGCTATGCCGGTTCCCTCAAAAAATTGGTCATCTTGCACATCTAGTTAATTATTTATTTTCACTTTTTATATTGCCGGATACTAAGAGTGTACCACACTTTGTATCTTGCCTAAGATCTGAAGTGGCTAAGCAGGCACTTGTATCTACATTTGTTTGTGTTACATTTAATCCAACACCAAAATAATAAAAAGTGTGTAAAGTAGGCCTAGCGTGCCGTGTTCACTAAAACATATATGGTGTATATTTAGCCCAGTTAGTTTAGCATTTAGAAATTGATGGAAAGTTAGAATGTCCCTGTTTCAATTTTGAATATAATGGTCACGGTTAACCTAGCAAATAGGATACCCCAGAATTCAAATTTGTTTCATCATCTATAGTTAAACACATAAAATATCCTGAAGCTACAGTATCATTTTGTAGCGGGGGGGGGGGGGAAGCTCTGTGCCTAAAGTCAAGTGATACAGCCTCACTTTAGGGATACGCAAAAGATCAAAGAAGTTTTTTTAAACTGAAACTATGTTATGTGTGTTTCGTATCAGTTTTGTAAGATATTTGGGTTATAGAAATTTATACATTTTATTATTCTGAATCACCTTTATTGGATTTATGAATATACATCAGGTCTAAACTTGTCGCATATTTTCTCTATTACATATCTTTTCACTAACATGACATATCTTTCACTAATATTCCAAGTATTGTCAGAGTCATTAATTTGTTATTCATTGGATGTTTTAGATCTAATAAGCACCATCAGGACATGCGAACTATAATTAAGACAATTCCTAGCATCACCACAGTCGACAATGACTCTTTGGCTCTCCCTTTATCACAAACAGCTTTCAGCCATGTAACTTGTGTCCAGTTATAGACACGCGTCGCTTCGGGTCCACATTCACTTGTCATCAATCGGTCTGTAACACACTTGCTATGCCGATAGAGGGCAGGACAATTTTCGAAGCCTTCTTGCAAACGAAATATTTTTCTTATAAGTATACCCCAGTCGGGCATTTGTTCATGACATTTGGATCTTGTTCTTACTCGTTGGATGCAAACACCATTGGAAAGAAGGGCTGAAAAAGAAACAAGAAATTATGTTAAGGCTAGAATATTAAATGCTATCTTTCGATTCATTGGGGGTAAATCCAACCGAGGAGTGCATCACTTTTTTTTTTCACATCTCCCTCTCCCTCGTATGAAGAACATGGTACATATTTTTGAGGTTTAATCTACAGAACGTTTTTTGACAATAATACAAACTAGTAATCCTTGGAATACATGTACATTAATTGAATACTCCAATTCTCAACAACCACGGTAAAACAACAACAAAAACGTCATTGTGGTAATCATGAAGAACTCTACGTTGAAACCAAAAGTCTTGAAAAGCAAACTTTTATGCTGATATATTTTGTATATAAAATGGTAACCAGAAATCTATCAAAGCAGACCTTTTCACTGATTATTTTATATGTAAAATTGAAACCAAAAGTCTCGCCTAGCAAGATGAAAAGATCCAATATCTTCACCAAAGTTACAGAAGCAAAGTAAAATATGGTTTGATGATATCTTTATCATCAATATCTCTGATACACAGAGAATCAGGGTTTTTGAAATATACTCGAACCATTGCACTGCCGTAGGAAGTAATTTTGTAGTGGTCAGGCCATTGTCATATTACCATTTCTAGAGGGGTCTGGGGGCAAGACCCCAGAACATTTTTGAAATTTTAATGCTTTGAGGTTGAATCGTGAGCCATAAAATGGCATACATACAACGTAATGTATTGAATTAAATGAATCAAGTTTTATTACATAAGTTGTAGCTATACATGTCATGAAAAAGTGGTCAGTCCATGGCCTGACTGGTCTTATCGCTTCCTACGGCCTTGCTTTGGATCCAGAAGAATCTAGAAATAAGTAGAGTAAAAACTATCATGTTGATGATAATTCACTGAAGCAATTAAACGGTTTAATCCCAAACTCACTTTACTGAATAACATCAACAAATGAAAGTATTTCCTTTAGTCAACTTTTTTTACAACTTTACTACTTGCATCGATTTTTTGTGGGGAAATCAGTAAACCGTATGATTAGTATTTATGACTAGAGAAAGTACCCGGGATATTAGTGTTACGTCTCCGTTTGTTAATTAACTTTCCGTAACTTCGTTCCGACGAAACTTTAGTGACACAAG